CCCCCACCCAATCAAGTCACACCCCCACTAGCAGTTAAAAGGAAGAAACAGCTGCAAGCTCACATTACTCCGAGAAGCACAAAGCCGAAGACACAAGCCTGAAGATGATGAATGAGACTTCATCGAAACGTCGCGTGCACCTTCAGGTAACTGTCACACATGCATGGGAGGCGAGGCGCATGTGGGAGATGCGTGCGTATGTGCAGGGGGTCAGGGGAAGCACGGGGGGGTCCCACATGCATTGCATTATGGGTGCAGGCACGTGTGTGCGCTCTCATGAACACGATGACAAAAAGGTTAGCCATCACTGGCCTAGAGCCCTCCCTGAGGGAGTTGGGTGGGTTAAGAAGATATATAAATAAAATATTTACATCAATCAATCAATGGAGCTCAGGGAACACGAAAGATCCCAGGGTTCAACCTTGAGCTATTCTCTTCCATCCGTACCTCCTCCCCAGGTGCAGCTGCAGCAAGCCCCAGGCATGTTCCACCTGAACGAGGCCTTCTCTGAAGCGGTGCAGATCCCCCTAGACCGCTTGTGCCGGGCCTCTCCTTATCCCTCCCACCGGGCCAGCCTGAGCCCTGCTTCCAGCACTTCTCCGTGGGCTCTGATCGCCAAGAACCCCACAAAGCCCTCAGCAAACCAGCCTCCCCCAGAAGCCGATGAAGAGGCAGTCAGGACAAGCAAAGAGCAGGCAATGGAGCTGGACTCCCCCCACTCGCCCAGCACCTGCTCCGATGTCCTGAGTGCTGTGGTGTGGGCCCAGGCCGACAGCGGAAGGGGCTCCGAAACCGATGCCTGCGACCAATCGCCGGACGCTTCGGAAGCCAGCCTCAGCCTGCTGGAGGCAGGGTTGGAGGCGGAGGAGGGCGATGTAGAGAGTATGAGCTGGGCCACGGCTGTGGCCCTGGCCTGGCTGGAGCATCGCTGTGCTGGCTTTTTTGTGGAATGGGAGCTGCTGGCGGCTAAAGCGGATTGCTGGCTGCGTGGTCAGCAGCTGCCCGAAGGCCTGGACGTGGCTGCCCTGAAAGGAGCAGCCCGCCAACTTTTCCTGCTGCTCCGCCATTGGGATGAGAACATCAAGCTGAACATGTTGTGCTACAACCCGAATAACGTGTGACGAGCCAGCCAGGCTTTCACTTGTACGAGGGCAATAAAGAGAAAATGGATTCCAGGAGTCCCGGTTGTTGAGAAGGTTCTTTCACGGGCTGGGAATATAAAGTAGGATTTTGCTGATGATGGAGAGCTCCAAGAAACATTCAAGGCCGTTCTCAGCCCCCATTCGGTGTGCTGCTTTACTAAAGGTGTACAATCAAGGTAACAGGTAGTCCTCGACTTACGACGATTGAGCCCAACTGTCAGGGCTCTGGTAGTTACCCCCATTTAAAGAATGAGTCTCTAGCCGGATTCTCAAAGCTCAAAGATTTGTTAGGAGAAAACAGGCCGGTGCTGCCTGGGTGTAGCTGACTCTGAGACACGTCATTCATTGTCTCCCTTGACCCTGGTTTCCCCCCACCCCCTGGGTGTATCATAATTCATATTCTCCAATGGGACACATCCATAGCCAAAAGTCATCAAGCATACTCTTCAGTTAGAATTTTGCACTGGCAGAAACTTCGGTCGCCTGGAAACTATCTATGAAAACACTGATGTTTTGGTTTTGCAAGCTGCTGCACTGCTTCCCCCTCCCTTTCTGTTGGCAACTCTAAAAGACCAGAGAAATATTTTATCAGTTGGCACCAACATTTCTGTTGCCAAGCAAGACACAGGTGAGTTTCCCCCCATTTTACTATCTTCCTCGGCACAATTGTTAAGTGAATCACTACAGGCAGCGGTGATATGCTACCGGTTCGGCCCAGTTCAGCCGAACTGGTAGTTTAAAAAAAAAAAAAAAGCCTCCAATCAGCTGAGAGGAGGAAAAAAATCCCCAATCAGCCGAGAGGAGGAAAAAAAGGCTCCAATCAGCTGAGAGGAGGAAAAATGCCTCCAATCAGCTGAAAGGAGGGGGGGG